GCAAGAATTTAAAAACTCGATTGTGGAGTTGTTGATGCTCATTTTGCGAAAGTAAAACAATCGAGTGTTCGCATCTATGAATCAATTTGAAGTCAATTGGGTTAATATTCGCATATGGGTTCAACATATGAAAATTTTGATTTCGCAAGTTTAGAGTTCAAGAACTAAACTGTGTTCGCATCTGGAATGAAAAATTTTGTGAATCGCATTTTGCGAAGGTGATTAATGCGAAGGGATGCGAAGGGTGTAAGAATGAAAATGCGAAGGTGATTAATGCGAAGGGATGCGAAGGGTGTAAGAATGAAAATGCGAAGGTGATTAATGCGAAGGGATGCGAAGGGTGTAAGAATGAAAATGCGAAGGTGATTAATGCGAAGGGATGCGAAGGGTGTAAGAATGAAAATGCGAAGGTGATTAATGCGAAGGGATGCAAAGGGTGTAAGAATGAAAATGCGAAGGTGATTAATGCGAAGGGATGCGAAGGGTGTAAGAATGAAAATGCGAAGGTGATTAATGCGAAGGGATGCGAAGGGTGTAAGAATGAAAATGCGAAGGTGATTAATGCGAAGGGATGCGAAGGGTGTAAGAATGAAGATGCGAAGTATTTCACAGTAGAATGCGAATTGGGGAAAGAAAACAGAAGATTTCAAATATTGTCCCTGGAGTTTCGCATTTTTGGAAATAAATACTCAACTTCGCAAATGGGGGTCATAAAATGATGAAATTGCAGAATTTTTAAAGAGATACACACACATAGACAACCACACATATATTTAGAAAATTAAACTAAAAATGGGATATAGACTATTATAAGACATTGTTCTTGACTTTTGAGTCCAAAGACGTATGATCTGAACTTTAATTGTGAAATCGTCCTTGATTGAGTCAATTTCCTGTATAGGAGTAATATATTCCATTGTGCCTTGCAAGTTAAAAAATAAAAATAAAAAAAAATAAAAGTCACAAGCAACCACCCCACACCCACTCTATGACCAGCCATACCTCCCCACCTTACCTATGTCACTTCAATGTTCCCTTACACTCAAATTTCACTCACTCCCACGTTTTTGAGCTGGAACAATCAACCACACTCCTCATTTGCTCTCATTTCTCTCATTCCACTAAGTAACAAACATCACTTTTTCTCTCAAACTCTTCTACACAAATTTTCGAGATCCAAGGCTGGATTCAAGTGTTCTTCCACACTTAATTCTCAAAAACCTTCAAGGCATCTCCAAGTGTTCTTGAATTAAACACTTCCATTCTTCAACAATCATCTACTGAAATCACTCAAGGTGAGTTCATACCCCTACATTTTCATGTTTTCTCAAGTTTTCAGGGGGAGAATACAAGTTAAAACACTAAGAACATAACTAAATTTCTCTAACAGCCTTCATCAGAAAAGTTCAACTCCATTCACGGACTGTTTTGGGCATCTTAAATATTTTTGTTTTCAAAACTGTACAAGGTGCAAATAGTTCAAGTTTTTAGCTTTAAAATGGCTACTTGCACATCTCCATACGATTTTTCTACAATTTATGGCGATTTTTACAAAACTGCCTATCACTTCAAACAACAATCCGGACCAGTCTGTGATTATGGACTTTTTCACCCAAGTTAGAGGTCATTATAAATTGTGATAAAAATTATGAGCAAACTAGACACATTTTGTGAACTCTCAGAATTTACGGATCTAGTTTTCGACTTCGTATGATTTTTCTATGATTTTTCCAAAACAGGGCAGAATTGCTAAATTTTACCAACAACATGTAAATATCATAACACTTTGTATTATGTTGAGCAAAGTGTATAATCATAAGTTTTAATGTTTGAATGTGTTTCCTAGTTAGTTTATCATTATGAACTGAAACTAAGACATTCATATTAAATATTATCCATTCATTTTGGAACACGTATTATTTAACTATAAAAAGTATAGTTTGAATATATTTATAACACTAATACATTTCCATAACAGGGTTCATACATATTATACACATTTTAGATAAACTATAATAGGTATAGTTTATGATACATCACTCTACGCACTCGTACCAGAAGTGTACATTCATATAAGAAAGATTTCTATTCGCACACATTTCACGTAAGTTAATCTATGGTTTGATAAATTCACAACACTAATACATTTCCATAAAAGGATTCATACATATTACGTACATTTTAGATAAACTATAATAGGTATAGTTTATGATACATCACTCAACGCACTCGTACAAAAAGGGTACATTCATACAAGAAAGATTTATATTCACACACATTTCAAGTAAACTTGTTAACCTATGGTGAGACTCTCTCTCTCTCTCCCCGTACGTCCGAGTGCGGGATATAATTCCTGGTAGTTATAATCAGAATCTCCTTGAGGGAGAACGTGATACTTGTATATAGATCTATATTGGGTTTGACACCCCACACCTCGCTGCTAGCTACAGTGGGACCTGCAGGTCTACGGGTGACAAATGTCATTTCATTTTTCGCGACACTGAGAACGTCGTGGCAGGTTCACATAGTCATAGTATGATTATAACGGCTCACATAGGGAACAATCCATAAGTTTACGGGATTTTATTTTTAAAACCTAAATGAGTTTTATGTCGATTTAAAATCACCTTTTATCTCTATGGGTACAAATACAAAGTGCCGGGTCTCTATACAAAGCTATTATGATATTAAAACTACACTTCCTCTAAAATTGTTAGACTTCAACTATAGTCGCTGAGCGTATATGTTGAGTCATATAAGAATTTAGTCTTGATTGGCCTAGAATTGGTGGTGCCCGCCTCATCTCATGTTCCTCGTTGGGTTGTGGACCTAGGGCAGACCCACTATATTCAACGTTTTATCTAAGTTAAGCCTTATATAACTTTATATGTTGGACGATTATAGAGGAACTCTACGGATTACTCTAGGGTTCATTACAGCATCATGTAGGATTATTTCTATTCATACTTAACTAAGAAAATATTGGATTTTCTGGAAATCAAACTAAATCGATTTTACAAGGAAAAACGGTTTCTACTTCAAACAAAACCCTTATGAACTCACCAACCTTTGTGTTGACACTCTTTAAAACTACTTGTATTCTCAGGAAATCAGTGAAACAGGAAAACTTCATCGCTTTGAGGATGGGACGCTAAACCGTCAACAATTTATTTTGTCATCATAATGTAATTGCTTTTGAAACATGTAAACATATACTTTGGTGTAACTTTTGCAATTATATTTATGGTGGTTGTTTTTACTTTGAGCACTATTATACACGTTGTTGTGATACTGTACATGAAGTCCTCCACCCCCAGACGTTTCCGCCATCCTTGGTTTGGGGGTGTGACAATGTAATCACCAAGTGCTTTGCCAGATGTGACACTAGGCAATTAGAAAGAAAAAGACAACAAATAGGAGATAAAAAAGAATTAGCCCAAACGATATACTAAAAATAAAAGACCCTTGCTTCTCGCCTTTTGCATAAAATGAGTCAATGAAATATAAATAAAAAAAATATGATTCATAAAAATTGAATGTACATAACGAAATAAACTTGCATACATACAAATGGTTATGAGAGAGATAGAGAGTTGACATCAAATGGGAAAAAACTATGATTCCCAAATGAATTTCACCTCAATAAACTAAATTAAGCCTCTTTATGTGATAGGATTTATAAGTTAGAAGGGCATTTTACCTTGAAGGGTTGAACATCACTTGTAACATCCCAAAAACACGGTCTAAAAATTTCATTTAATTTAATAATAAAAACCATAGTCAATAAACATCATATAAAAATCATAAGCAATGTATCTCAAAATATTATAACAACTGTCAAGTATATCAGAGTATAAACATCCCAGGCTGAAACAAATGGTTTGTGTACTGCAATCTTCCCGGACTCCTCTTTTGAAAACCGAGTACCTGAAACCAAAACTGAGAACCGTAAGCACGAAGCTTAGTGAGTCTCCCCAAACTACCACATACCATACACATAACATGCAGCTACACTACAAGAAATCAGCCCTTTAATGACGCGCAAACAATGACACTCGCTGATAGACGACGCGCATTTGTAATTGCCCTAAAAGATAATGTCAGTTTTGAAAAATTTGAAGGATAGAAGGCACGCATTTTTGCGCGCCCTAAAATTAGTGTCAGAAAAGAAAAAAAAATGTTGAGGGCGCCTATCATAAGATGTGCGTCATGTAAATGTGTCGCTTTATAATTTTTAAGTGAAATACGCGTTTTAGGAGGGAAATGAAATCGACGAAAATTATCCCCGCCTACTGAATCCCAAAAATTAATCCCCCCGCCTCTTCTACTTAGCAATAAAAAGTCGTAGGTCCCTCATCTTCATCTTCAGTATCATCAAACATCTCGTTCATCGGATCTCTACTCGATCTCCTTCTTATCAGTATCATCAAACATCTCGTTCATCCACTACATTATTTCCATCGTTCTTCCCTCTCCTCACTGATCAATACCCAAAAAACCCTAATATCATAACCACTCCTCTTTTCTCGCACAACAAAATCCCAAAACATCACCAAATACTAAATTCCACAAAATCGTTGTGACCATTTTAGCTAGGGCTTTTTTCAAGAACGAAAACACTCTCGCATCTCTCTTAGCTCTGAAAAAATGGACGATTCACCTTGCTTCGCCTTTATCTATTCTATTAGATTTTTCTTTTCAGTTAGAAATCGATTTCGTCCCTTCCCTAGCTCTTCATCTCTTCACTAATATCGTTGTTCATCTATCCACTAAAATCTTCATGGTTTCTTTAATTTCACTCCAAGGGTTATTTGATAGCTCTTGTATGGTTTATTCCCTATACTGAATCGAGAGTCAAGGTTGTTGGTATGAATTCACAATTCCCCTTCAATCCTTCATCACACATTTAACCCTAGATCTTCGAATTCTATAACTATTAGGGTTCAGTTGATTGAGAAGCGTCATTTAACTCTTCATTTTTCCTGATTTTGGGTTGATTTATGTTTGGAATTTTGTTAATTTTGGAATTAGGTGCCACTTTCCGATTGTCGAGACTTCTGCGTCCCTCCCTTCAGCATCGTCGCCACCCTCTAATTTGCACCGCCTCTGTCGTCGGCCTCCCCTCTACCTCCGATAACTTCTCCATTCATGCTTCCGCATCCTCCAGCTTCTGCAGGTAAGGTTTCCATTTCCTTTTCATCTGAAAATCACGTTCTAGATGCGTAAATGTAGTTCTTCTAGAACTGTTTGAGGCTGAAATCAAGTTCCAGATGTGTATATTTAGTTTTTTTTTTTGTCTTTTCTTTTTCCTCTGAAAATCGAGTCCCTGGTATATGGTAATTCATTGGTCTAAGTAAAATATTTCTTTAAGTTTGACCAAAATAACATTCAAAATCCATATCAGATCACAAAGTTATTTATTCCATTCATCATGTTTTTGTTTATTTTCTTTGAAGTCAAGATTCAAGATCTAGGGGTTATCAACCATCGGTGTTAGCTCTAGCTACAATGCTTCATATGATAGATTAAGTTGACTCTTTAAACTATGTGTGACTATCCGGATTAGCTTCTTGATGTACTCAAAACCACCGGATATTAGGAAAGTTAGAAACAAGGCTTTCTTTAAGGGCAAAAAGGTAATTAATCTTTGAATTGTCTTTTAAGTAATATAATATATTATATATGACATATATTATATATATTTATGACATTTTCAACTTTTTGTGTAGTCGATCACATGCAGTTTTCACAATCACATTGGAGCAAATGAACAAGACAATCTCAAATGATTCTATGTGTGATGAATATTTGTGTGCCAAATTGCATTTAGTTGATCTTGCTGTTTCAGAAAGGGCTAAAAGAACAGGACCGAAACCAGGACTGAGTGGACAAAAGTTGCAGCTTTTGTCTCACACAAAATACATAAATGCCCTCATCCTCATTATTTGAAAAAGGAAATAACCTGCTTGATAACTTGATTTGTTGAACATGAGTTCATATTTATAAAGGGCTTCTTGCACTTGGAAATGTCATAAGTGCCCTTGGTGATGAGATAGTAAACTTACTTACCTCTTGCTGGTTGGACATTATTAATTAACTATTTTTTAATGCAAATCGGTTTATTGCTTTTAGTTTAATATAAATATGTTTTACCGAACTGATAGGACTCATTTGGTGGGAATAGCAGAATTGTTATGATAGGTAAAATATATAATTTATAGTAATGTTTATTATTTATAATTATAATTTTGTTTATTATTTAAAATCTTTGGTACTAAGTAAACATATAATTTTTCCTAATTTCAGCTTGTGTTAGTCCTGCTGATATAAATGTTGAGGAGACTCTCAACACTTTAAAGTATGCAAGCAGGGCTCAAAATATATAGAATAAGCCTGTGGTAAGTTTGAGTTATATGCTAGAAATAGCAACCTGCTTTCATTTATTTTCTTATTATAGAAAAAGTATTACAATGAGATGTTATATATAATACACAAATAAATCATTACTTTTTTAAACAATTTAATAGGTGAATAGGGATCCGGTGTCTAGTGACATGTTAAAAATGCGTCAACAACTAGAATGCTTGCAACCAGAACTTTGTGCTCGTGGTGGAGGTTCTACCGTTGAATTATAGGTATAAATTATAATATGAATATCATATTTATTTTATATAATAAACATTTATTCTTTAACTTCTTATAAATTTGTTGTATCGCATAAAAAAAATTAGTGAAAGTGGTATGTTTTTATTTTAATTTTTTTATACAAAGCTAAAATTATTTGTATTTCATCTTCTTTTTTAATGATAATGAATATAGGCGATTCTGGTGTGATATGGAGGAAACAACAAAAGAATCGGAGCATACTCTTCTCCAAGACTTCACGGATAAAGAGGTACATGAGTTAAATAAAAGTTTGGATACCTTTTGATAAAAAAAAATATAATTTTTAATGCATAAATGCATCATTATCAAAGGGTATTTAAGACATTTGGTGAATATTTAAAACAAGAAGTTATTGTTGCAGATGTTTTGTTCTGATCCTGCTTATGACAAGTCACTTCAGCAGCTAAAATGCTTCTTGAGGTTAGTAGTGGACAAATGAGTTGCATTGGAATCACTAAATCCTCCAAATGTGACAGAAAATCCGGATCAGAATCAGCATCTTATGTTCTCAGAAACAGGAAACAACAAAACAGGTAACAGTTTTGGTCCCTAAATTTTTGGTCCTTGTACAATTTTTGTCCCTGCAACAGTTCTGGTCCCTACGGTTTTGGCCCATTTATAGTTTTTTCCCCCTCTCTCTGTAGCTAGTGTGGTATTACGACTTCCTTCAATTATTTGATATCATAATTTCCATTCTTAACCGTTTTCTTCTTAAAATGTCATGCAATATGTTGTATTTGGAGATAGTTTTTTACTTTTTATTAATTTTGATGAATGTTTATTTTCAGATACACCCTGATATCAGATCCAAATTCTAACAGTTACTTTGATTTGATGATTAAGGTACAAAAAACTAAATTTTTGATTCTATTGTTAACAAAAATCATGTAGTTGCTAGTGCAGATTTAGTCAGTGGCATCCATTTGCTCCAAGTATAACCAATCATTAGCATTGTTATCTTTAATGGTATTCTTTTAACATAACTCCTAATTATATTGTATTTGTTGTTGTATCTTAGACAAATCTAGAGATTCTGAAAAGATGGAACAATGAGGTACAAGAAGTTGTTCAATCAAGGGTTGCACTTGTACAATTTCATGCACTTGTTCAGCTCCACCAGGTATAACTAAAGCCTAAAGGCTTAATCACAAAAATGACCAAAATGGCCATGCACATTTAATGTGATAATTGTCGACATTTTTCCCATTAATTTAATTAATTTTATATATTTTCAGATAAGACAAAATGACCAATTGGATGTTAGCAAATTAGTTACCAGTTTAACAAGGGGTACTGTTCCTTCGCCTTTAGCCCAATGCCTTTTAATTTGTTACACAAGTCAGGTACTCTTTAATTTAGGTAATGATTGCCACCTGTTATCTTTGAAGCTACAAGGGCAATAACGAAATTAAACGATGTTACTAGTAGAGAATTGACTCATGCAATTAATTGGTATTGTACAACTGATATGATTATTGTGTAGGATTTCCGTGTTGTTCTTGATAAACAGTTGAGATTGATATTGAAGCTAAGAGACATGATGAAGGGTTTTAGAGCTTCTTCAGATAGCTTAATGATGAGTTAGTGAAACAAGAAGGTGGCCCTTTATAGCAATGTAGTATTAGGTTATATTGTTAGGGAAAACCTCTTAATAACAATGTAAATTTAATTTATATATTGTAAGAAATAGAATTGTATGACATTAAATTTTATGCAATGAATTGTATTTTTTGTATATGGTATTTTATTTCTATTATGAGACATGAAATGCAAATTTAATTTGAAAAATAGTAAATTTATAAATATTTTTTTAAAATAAAAAAATAAAAATTACGATACGCAAAAATGTGTGTCATCTTCCTTTATGACATGGCCTTTCTTGACATCGGCTTAAATGATACGCATTGCGTGTCATAAATGCGCGTCGTCTCTCTTTATGAAAGGGCCTTCCTTGACACGCATTTGCACGTCGTCTGAGCGTTTTACGAAACGCAATGAGCGTCGTAAAAGACCTTTTTTCTAGTAGTGCTAGGAGATACGAGCCCTGCCCACACTCATGTAGATTCGGGCCCCGCCCACACTACTCTGTCTAGGTTATTCAGGCCCTGCCCACACTCTGCTGTCTAGGAGATTCGGGCCCTACCTACACTCCACTACCTAGGAGATTTGGGCCCCGCCCACACTCCGTTGTCTGGAGATTTGGGCCCGCCCACACTCTGCTATCTAACATGCATACAAGTATCATACAGACAACAAATACATCTAATTCTATCAAACAATAACATATCCATAATACAATACTACGAGATTCGGGCCCCGCCAACACTCAACTCCTACTACGAGATTCGGGCCCCGCCCACACTCACATGTATAACAAACATATACCAGTATCACACAGACCACAAGTATAGCAATCTAACAATAGATTGATATCTATACTCTGATAATAATGAGATACAGGCCCCGCCCAAACTCAACTACTACATATCACATATACGGGCCGGCCTTGGTTCTTTAGACCCGTTCCTACTGAAAGAAGACTCACCTCACACTGCTGAAGTCTCGCTGACAAAACCATAGCTGCTAGATGACAGATTCCCGATCTGTTAAATATACAAATAACACCCAATTAATAATTGGGCTCTAACTCATGTCCATACTTGCGGTAAAAGACTACTTTACCCCTAACTTAGCTTGCTCCAAGCCCAAGGCCCAATAGTATGATAATCAACTAAAGCCTAAATATGGCCCAATTTTCTAAATTGAGCCTAAATCCCTCACAAGTTCTTACTTTAAAGGCCCAACTATTTATTTTGATCCAAACACTTGGCAAATCCAATAGTCCAATACCTCATGATATTCAAGGCCCAAATATAGCCCATATATGGCCCAATTTTCCCAATTGGGCCCAAGCCTACCCAATGGGCCTTATCTTAAAGCCCATTCCAATACTCTAGTCCTTATACTTATTCTTGGATGGTCAATTAATAGCCCAAAACATCTAGGCCTAACAGGAGGCCCAACTCCAAACCCAAAAAATTAGGATTTTCAGATGAAATGATGATTAGGGTTAAGTGTTTCCCACTTAATCCATTAAGTCCTTTACTCTACTAGATATATGATGTGGAATAATTTGGGCTTAATACACAATCCAATCCCAATGGCCCAAAGGTGGGTCCAATAAGTCTAAGGCCCAAATGCACATAATTAGGGTTTTTTGCAAACCCTAATTAGGGTTTTCACTCAACCATGGCCCAATAGGCCCAAAAATGAATCTTTAAGCCCATTAGGGTTTTGCTAGTAGGGCACCACCCACTACCAACTCGTGTAGTGGTCGTCAACGGTGGCACACAGCGGCGGCCACCACCGTACAAGGCTTTAATCCAAAATGACACACACACTAACTAACACACATACACACACAGCCACCCTAGCGGTGGATGGCGGTGGCTTACAACGGTAGCCACCACCTCACGGTGGCGGCGATGGCTATTCTTGGGAATTCCAGCCAAACAACTACTCTGCTTCACTAAAATAAACACACACAAAACATCCATTAGAAGTAGAATTGCACACCCACCCAACTTATAGCCACCACCACGGCAGCTGTGGTGTCAAGGCACGGCAGCGACGGCATGAGGAAATAGAAGCAGTGGTTGGCGGTGATTTGTATCGACAGCCACCACTTCACGGTGGTGGCGAGTTTCCTTGAGTCTCGACCTATCAACACACAACCACCCAAGCAAGATCGTCGTGAACCCAACAACAAAGCGCACCTCAACCTCAGCCACCCTTATGGTGGCGCAAGGTAGTTGAAGACGAATTCCATCCCAACAGCCGTTCAGAGTGGCTGCTATAGCGACATGGCGGTGGTAGAAGAAGGCGGAACAAGAAGGAAACATGGAGAGGCGATGAAATAGTGGCGGTCGGCTCACTTGTACGATCGGAGAACGACGAAGAAGGAGGCGGCAGTCAAATTGAGCCCCGATCTTCCTTACCCGCACGTCATAAACATGGTTGCTACCTTTATTAGCGGTGGAAATAGCAGTAAGCGACAGTTTCACCGGTGACTTGGTTGTAACGCCCGCAGATCCGGGCTAGTCAATTTAGAGGCAATAGGGGTCGAAAATGAATTTTCGACAAAAGATTATTTAGAATAAATAATCTTAACCAGGTTGTAGAATATATCACAAGGTTTCCGTACATATAAAGAACGCCGAAATCCGAGTTATAACGAAGAAGTTATGGCCCGTCGAAGTTTCGCGACGGAACCAGCACGGCACCGGGAAGCGTAAATAGTGAATTTACGATGGAGGACTTTTTAGCCTTAGTGATCTAAATGAAATTTTTAGAATATGATAAACTAAGAGCGTCCATAAAAAGAACGCCCAAATCTGACTTCGTATGAGGAAGTTATGATTTTTCTAAGATTCGACTTAGCAGTGCACGACCCGAAACTCGAATTTTAGTTCGAGCGGTTTTTGGCTTACGCAACCTAAATGAAAGTTGAAGATCTAATTAATAGGAACTCAACGGTAAAAAGACAGACGAAAACAGAGTTCGTATGAAGGAGTTATGAATTCTTCGTGGTCATTTAACAGTCTAAACACCTCCTACTGTTAAATTTGAGATCGGTCGAGAATTAGCCGACGGAGTCTAAACTAAAGTTGTAGATCTTGATTTTACCTACGCGTGGATATAAATAACATAAAAAACAGAGCTCGTATGCGAAAGTTATGATTTTTCTAAGTTTGAAGGCTGATACGCGATAGGGGGTGACGTGGCACCACCAGAAGGCCACCACATGCACCAACTCGGCGAGTCATGACTCAGACTCGGCGAGTCATGACTCAGACTCGGCGAGTCCATCAGGTTTTTCCACTATAAATAGAGGTGTCGGGTTCCATTCATTCTCACACCTTCCAAACCTTCTTTCTCTCTCTAAACTCTCTCTCTCTAAGCCTCCCTAACCCCCTAAAGCCTAGGGTAACTCCCTAGCACGAGGCGGAAGCCCCGGAGCGCCCGACGGCTTCGAGAAAAGAGCCTTTCAGCTCGGGAAACACTGCTCCAGCGAAGCCCGTTTTGCGAAAAAAACCCGCTGTTTTATCGAAGGAAAGTTGTTTTGAGAGTATCGAAGCGTTATCCGAGTGTTGAGTCACCTATCAGGTGAGTGCTGTGACAACCCCAAATATATTATCGTTACAAATCCCATCTTCACTAACGGAATGCGTCACTATATGTTATTTTTTTGTAATGTTTGGAGTCGTCAATAAACAAACATCTAGTTATTTATATGTCCCGATATTATCATAAGTAATTATAACTTGTAAGTGTTAACCCCGTTTAACTAAATAGAATTATATTACTTTTCAACCACTTCACACGGGTAAAAAGTTTTGACCCCGTTAAACTTTAGCATCGGGTAGCCATGTACCGGGTGCAATACCCGAGACATATATAAGCAAATGAACACCACTTTTAAGCCTTTTTACCACTCATTCACTCTCTCTCACTACTTTCTCTCTCTAGACCCGAACCCGACTCCAAAACCGCGAATTCCGGCCCAAACGTAAGGGTTTCTTCCCTATCTTGTACTAATCATAGTCCATAACATTTAGAGGCCAAAAATCATAGGATTTAGGGGATTAAATGGAGTTTACGGCCTAGGAACCCCCTTAGGCCGTAAACACCTAAAATCTTGCCAAAAGCCTCATTTTTCCTTCCTTTAAGCTTATATACTAATTAAGGGATTTACCTAGGGAAGTTTGGACATTAAAACATAAGAATTTGAGGCCTAAAAAGGAGTTTATGGCCCAAGCTTATGCTTAGGCCGTAAACACCCAAAAACCATGGATTTAAGTCCCAAAAACTCATCTAGGGCATCGGGAAAATTTGCTATGACCTTTAGAAATGTTTAAGGCCATTATAACACACCATTTGGAGTCAAAAAGAGGAGTTTACGGCCAAGCCTAAGCTTGGGCCGTAAACACCTAAGAAATATTCCAAAATGCCCCTAAAACTCCACATAAGGCCTTCATAAATTTATCTAAGATGTAGGAGAGTGTTTTGGACCATTTAACATGTCATTTTGAAGAACAAAATGGAGTTTACGGCCCAAGCACAAGCCTGGACCATAAACTCCCCAAAATGCCCCAAAATGAGGGTTTAAACCCTCCAATTTAGTCCAAGACACTTGCTAAGAAATTAGGGATGTGATTAAAGGCCTTAACTTGCAATTTTGGAGGACCACTTGAGTTTACGGCCAAGCCTAGGGGGCTTACGGCCGTAAACTCCCAAGGAGTGGCCTTTGGGCCATAAACTCCAAGGGAGTGAGCTCATGGGTTCCCCCGTAAACCTCTCTTTGCCTTGTACCACTCCCGGGAACCCCTTCTAGGCCCTAAAATCCCGAATTGATGCTAGAATGCCTAAATACTTAAATGGAAAGCATAAAATGATTAATTTCTTGTAAAATACATATTTCATATGACATTAGGGTCCCAAAAGGTGCACAAGTCATTATTTGGTACAAAACGCTCAACCGACACTTTTACCCGATTTACGCGAATTCAGGTGAGTTCATACCCC